TTAATTATTCCGAGTGTAACTCCACATGATGTCATGTTTTACATTCTTTACTGGGCTGGTTAGCCATTGTACACTTTCTCATTTCTCTGGACAGATTGACTGCCGCTGTCCCCGCCACCACGTGCCGTACGTGCAGCCACCCGGGGTGCACAGGGCGGTGCATGTCCACTCACATATATACGACTACCAGCACCACAAATACACCACTCGGTTCGTCTGCACGACCAGGGCTAATGAGAGTGAGTGATACTAGTTCCAGTCTCATATTTCTCACCAATTAACCAATCACTATTTCGCATGAGTCAGTCAATCAGTCAGTCAGTCAGTCAGGTGCCGTCTTCACAGTGATTGCTGGATACTCTTGTCTCGGATGTACGCATTAAGAGACATGAAGTTTGAACAACGGATCAAGATCATGGCACACGGGTAGTAACCCACAAGTATCTCGTTCTTTCTTCTCTCTCAAGTATAAGTTCAAAGAAGCTCAACACAGTGCACAGGCTCTGTAGCACCGACGAGGATCCTGAAATACTTTGGGTAGATTTTTAACTCCAAATATGACCTGGGCCGTAGCGTTAAGCTATTCTTTTCGATTTCCTACTGCCAATGGATTTTTTTACGTGCCCAATAATGTAAACGGGCGTCCGATCTCACTTCCCAGAGACCATGGGGAATTACTAGAAGTCCAAGTCCAAGTGAACAAATCTCTGTTCTTACTGGGGATTGAACCCGGAACATCTAGCACTTGAAGCGGACACCATGCCACGAGACCACACAGCACCCTTTTAAGAGACTGATGTAATATAAGTGCCAACTGTAAAGTGTGGGGGCCACAGTTTGTTCCATGAATGCCAGCCAGGTCCGTGTATCTTCCTGATTAGGCGAGTTTGTCCAGTCAATGACATGTATCATCGTCATCATCCGCATCAGCATCAACACCACCACTATTATCAACATCATCAACGCCATTATTATCATAATCACCAGCAGCAGCATCATCCCCGTGTGGGTTCCGAGACCTCGTTTGGTTAGTTGGTGGGGGGGGGGGGGGGGAAGGGGTATAACAAGCATGTCATATAAAGGCGACTAATTAAGTGATTTTCCCCCCTCAAAAGTTGGAGTGCATCTGCCTGAAATGCGAATAAACAATAGTCTGCACACATGTAAGCCAGATCTGTAAAACTGATGTGCACGCAAAATTCAAGTTATGGAACAAGACTGCCAAGGTTAACAGCGTCTATGTCTGCGTCTGTGGTGTAGGCGTTGCAAACGAGTTTTGTAATTCCGGGGTGCGCGTTCGATCCCAGTTGCGGACTGTTTGCCTGGCGTTAGTTTCGACAGTAAAACTGAGAGCCGACCGTTTATAAGCAATACAAAACAACTTAACGTAAAATTTGCTTAGAGAAACCACAACAGCCAACAAATGTTAGGGTTGGTTCTGCAATTGTCCTGTGAAGGATCAGCAACTATTTTTTATTTTACAGCCGGTAAACTGTAAAGAAGAAGAAGACGAAGATGAAGAAGAAAAAAGAAGAAGAAGAAGAAGAAGAAGAAGAAGAAGAAGAAGAAGAAGAAGAAGAAGAAGAAGAAGAAGAAGAAGAAGAAGAAGAAGAAGGTTACCATCATCATTATTAAAATCAGAATCATCATCACCATCAGTCATTATCATCATCAACTTCATCACCATCATATTGTGCCATTCATATCACATACTGATTGATAACTGATTAAAGAATCGGCATCATAGCATATCAGGCACACGCACTGACTCTCTGTCTCCCGCAGCAAGTGTCTTAACGTATAAATGCTAACTCTTCCCGTAGCACGCTGATTATACACACATCGTCTCTCTTCTTCTCATACGCCCATCCTTGCCTGATCCATTCCCCATTCCTCATTCAAACTTTCTTACATAATAACAATAATTGTTACTTAGCACAATGAAAACAAGACCTAGCGCACTTAGCCCCCACCGGCGCCCAAAAATGTTAGAAAAGCCCAAAGGGGATGACGACGTTTAATCCCACCAGGACACCACACCGAGCTATAAACATCCCGATGACACAAAGTGCCACCATTCGGTTGTGGATCACCCGGGGACAGACCCCCAGAAACCCCGTTCAGACCATAGATTGGGTTATATTAGGGCCCCCAGCAACAGCCAGTGTGGGGCTTTTAAAACAACAAAAAATTGCGCCTGACATTGACGCACATGATTATTTCTAAGGGCACTGATCACGAAATGTTCTCCTTGTGTCAGCGCCTATAGCCAGTGTTAGAAATTGCGCAATATGTTTTTTTTTTTAAATGTCCCAACAAATGAACAAATGCCAATTACTGCCTTTTTTATACCACATCTTGCTAAGTAGGCGGAAAAAGGGGGGGGGGGGGGAGGGGGGGGGGGGGGGAGGAATGGGGGGGGGGGGGTCTGAGTCTGAGGATTTACGGCCGCATGGCTAGTGCTGTCGCCGCGACTGTACAGATAGAAATTTTATTTTACTCCTGACAAAAAATATCCCTAGCCTTACCGAGGATTCGAAACCGGGTCTCCCGATTGAAAGACCAGAGTTCTAACCGTTCGATTAGACGCTCCTCTTTTAATATGCTCACTATTTAACTATTTAAATTCACAACTGGGAAACACCATTTTGAATTTCTTTGTTTTATCCACAGACAGCATGCCTGATCCGTGTGCTGCAAATCACAACATCGACGAACAATAGTCTGTCTCTGTCCAGAGAGAGACAACCAGTTGTTACTTCAAGAACAGCTGGTATTGCCATGGCAGTATCCTCAACACCTGCAGGGACACTAGCTGAGACAGACGGCGAGCTTTTGACTTCAGCACTTATCACAAACTTAAGGAAGCTACTACGAATCAGTGCTTCCCAAACTGTCACCATCAAAGCACCACTTTTCGGCTGCAGTATTAATACACTGCATTGATATGCTATTGATGTGCATAAAAAAATAATCATTTGACAAGTTTAAATTGCAATAAGCAATACGATTCATCACTCTCTGTGTAAAATATTTAAAAAGAGATCTGGTCTATCATTTCTGTTTCTGTAGAATTGCTTTGTCAGTGATTATAAACATTGTTATCCCAGATAACAGTCCTTTACAATACTAAAAGAATACAGAATGTATAAAATGAATGAACAATTCCAATGTAATAATTCAGTATTAAAAAACAAAAATTAGGGTATTTCAGTAATATGTAACTTTAATAGATATCTTAGCAAAATAAAAATGAAAAATATTTAAAAATGTCCCTAGACTTATCAGTACTTACATAAGAGTTATTTATGATATAAAATTTAAATTATTAGGATCGCTATTTTTATGATTAGTTTTAAATGTAGGATATATCATTTTTATTGAATACTGACATAAAAGTAAAGATTTACGTAAATCTGTATGCTTTTCCTCAACAAGATAATCTGGACAGTTCTAGTCAAAACTGGTTCATGCATGATAATATTCTTTTACTGAACAACATCACATTTTAAATAATGTTAATATACTAATGAAGTATATAGTATATCTGCCTTAAAAAGTCTAGGTATTCACGCGAGTGAAGCGTCATAACATTTAGAGCTAGAAATCTTATTCGAAAACAGCAAGGAAGGGAAAAGAACACAAGGAAGACCAAGAGAGGCCCTATTTAGAACCATCACCAGGAAAGGCTCAACCCCGGATCTAATGACCATCCAAGACCTAAAACAAAGGGCAAAAAAAAAAAAAAACGCCAGACATGGAGAGCTGTGACATCTGCCCTATGGCTGGCTGTCTTAAGCTCAAAAGGAAAAACTTAACTAACTTTACATGAACTACTAACCAAAGTGAAATAAAAAAAAAATGCATAATTCATTTGTAAAATTGAGTGATTGCTTAAATAATTTTAATAATTGCTAATATGCAAACATACAATGCTCATGTTTCGAACACAATCTTTCATGTGATTTTTGAAAGGAATAAAGCAGAAGATTCGATTGATTTATAGTGCACCTAATTGTGTATATAGTACTGTGTGTTCTTCTGATGTTGTTAATTAGGCCAAATTAAAAAAAAAGGAATACAAATATCTTATCTCTTGATATTTGTATTATCTACAGTATTTCAGTAAAAAATTTCTGAGACTGTATATTTACTATAAGTGTAACAAATGTATATATTGTACGCAGATGTATATTCTTAGCGGGCACAGTGTACACACTGGAAACGGAATTGCATACCATAATATTTGGCTTTGATGTCTCATAGCACAGAGCAGATATTGACTAAAGATGGACGAAAATTTTGACAATAAATAGGAAAAGCTACTTTATCAGTTAACATTTATACTTTCTATCGTATTTATTTACGAGAGTTTTAAGACCGTAAACATGTTTTATGTGTCATTTATGCACACATTATATACGTAGGCCTAGATCCTGGCAATTTTAATTGGTACAGTACTGGAAAATCAGTTTTACACTCTAACATTTGGGGTGTATTTGACAGTTTTTCATTTAAAAAAATAAACTTCACGTCAAGAAACAGTTGGAGCAGTTGTTTCCTGTCTTGTGTGGTTAATACTTTATGCCAGGTACGTACGTTATTGAATGCCAACCGATAAAATATTATTTCTCCTTAGGTCAGTCAAGTGAAAGTAAGTTTAATTACATTGTACATTATTGTGTCTTCGTGAGATTATTCGTGTTAGTAAATTAAGACAGCATAGTCTACGCTTTCAGAAATGCTGGAAATAGTTAGCACCACCGAAGACTAGGTCAAATCAGTTGCTTGTGATTAGCAATAATAACATGAAGCTACCGCTTGTTTTCAACACAAGGAAGATCTGGATGTTTAAAACGTCGGAAGAAGACAGAGAAACGTAGATATATTTCCAGCACTTGATAATATACACAGACTCATATTCGCTCAAGTGGTATATTTACCTTTACCTTAAAAACTTAAAATGTTAATTCCACTTAACGACACAAGTGAACCGAAATGACTGGTTCGATGCAGGATTATTTAGTAAAAGAAGCATGTACTCGTCATTTAATGTAAGTCTTTATCCTCTTTTCTTAGCAGTTTCTGTTATCATCAAATTATTTAAGAGGAAGTGAAGACGACAGAGTATGAGAAGGAAGAGGAGGAAGACATGGAGGAGTAGACGAAGAAGAAGAAGAAGAAGAAGAAGAAGAAGAAGAAGAAGAAGAAGAAGAAGAAGAAGAAGAAGAAGAAGAAGAAGAAGAAGAAGAAGAAGAAGAAGAAGAAGAAGAAGAAGAAGAAGAAGAAGAAGAAGAAGAAGAAAAAGAAAAAGAAGAAGAAGAAGAAGAAGATGGATGAGAGAAGAAGATGAAGAAGAAAAGAAGAACAAGAACAAGAACAAGAAGAACAAGAAGAAACAGAAGAAGAAGAAGAAGAAAAATAAAAATAAAAAGATAATAATAAGAAGATGGAGATTTTCATAAGTACTCGGATCCTCTCTTCGGTATATCGCTCAACAGGAAGCTAGTTACAAGATAAGTTATGTGTTGTTATATTCTTTTTTTATTTACTCATATGCATAACGTTCCTGTCTGGATTCATCGCATATGTCTAGCTATTCTTGCAGTCTGGCTTAAGCTACCGATTCATGTATAAACACAACATGGCCCCTGCTACTAAATATAGTTCAGTTTCAGTATTTATATTTTAAAAAAAAATGCTTCTCGTAAACAATTGACTTCTTTGGTTATGAGTTGCACCATTGCACCACTCAAACTACTAACGCTCAGATCATAATTTTAAAAGGATATAACAAAGCAACAAGTCAGAAAGAATTACAGGAAATGATAGACATTGTGGTGTTAGAAAGTCAGCCTCAGTTTTAATGGGAAGAAGAAAATGGTGGTATCAAAAAAAAAATGCTTAGTCAATGGTGTAAACAAGTACAGAAATTTAAGTATGCACATTCTTTGGAAGTAACTGAAATAAGAAACAGAATTGGACAGGCAAAAACTGCAACATCTTTGCAATATACCATTGAGAGTTAGAAAAAGAACTACATAATCCAGTTTTACTGAACGACAATCGGTAGGCAGGCCAAACAATAATGTGGTTTTACAGAAGAAGGATATACAGCCAAAAAGAGCAACCAAGAGTTTTAAAAGAAGACGAAGACAACTTATCACTGACATCTTCACATGTTATGAGAAGAGGGAAAATAGAACATGTTGTGACCACTGTCTGTGGAAGGAGGGATAGGAAGACAACGAGAGAAGATGTTGACAGTCTTTTTTCGGCACACGAACTGATACATGCTGCAGGAGATCGCAGATTATGGAGAGGCATGATCGCCCACGCCAGTCGGCAAGGCACCTGATGATGATGATAACAAAGTAGGAAAACCACCAGTCTCTTCACAATTTGTATATAGTTGTTTAGTTTATTCGACGGATCAACATCATGGCACACGGGTATGAACCCACAAGTGCTCCGTTCTACTTCTAACTCAAGCCTGAGTCTGAAGAATCTTAACGCAGTGCAGAAACTTCGTTGCACCAGCGAGGATCTTGAAATCTCTCTTCTTCCGCCTTTCTATCCCCCGGATCCTGAAATACTTTGGGTAAATTTTGAACTCCAAACTTTGCCCGGGCAGCGCCGTTAGGCTACTCTTTTTTGATTTCCAACTGCCAGGTTATTTTTTTTTTATTTGAGCAATACACACGGGCGTCCGGTCTTACTACACAGAGACCAGGGGAAATTCCCAGAACAGCGGTTCTTCAACTGTTTTCACTGCGGCACCCTTGTCGGGCACATTTTAATTGGCGCACCTACAATTAAAGCGGTTTCAATACTTATGCAAAGAATGTTCAAAAAGTTCACATTTAATGTCTAGTTGTCTTTAATGCGATGAATAAAACTGTTTGGATAAATTTTTCATTATTTTCTTTATGTTTATGGGAAGTTTAGTTGCATCCTCAAATCACTTGACCCGGAAAGTTTGCTCCTGTATCTGTTTTGTATGTAAGCGTACGTTGAGAATGCACTGCAGCCTTGATAAAAGCATTGTCTTCTGAATTCGCCTGCATTGGGAACTCTTTTCGCCTTCGTTTTTTTTTTCTGTTTTAAACTGCTGTCTTCGCTAATCTTAAGATTTGGAAGGAAATTCTTGATTATTTCAGAGGCACCTCTACCATATGCTCGCGGCACTCCTTTGCTGTGAAATATTTTGGTTGTTCGTCCACTTCTAGACGTTAGTCTTGTTTCAGAACAAGAGTTGTGCGTGCACGTCCGTTTTGCAGATCTGGCTTATTTGTATGCAGAATCGTGCTTCTTCGCCTCTCAGGCAGATGCACTCCAACTTCAAAAGAAGCATCAGAGTCACTTTTCACGACATGCTTGTTAAGGGTCAGTTTATTACTATCCTTGTCAAAGTGGAGCTCCGGGGAGAAATGACGTAAGAAATTGACGTGGATATATACGAGGTTTGAGGTTTGAACAACGAATCAACATCATGGCACACGGGTAGTAACCCATAAGTGCTCCGTTATTCTTCTAACTCAAGTCTGAGTCCGAAGAAGCTCAGAACAGTGCACGGGCTCTGTAGCACCGGCGGGGATCCTGAAATATTTTGGGTAGATTTTTAACGCCGTTAGGCTGCTTTTTTTTTCGATTGCCAACTGCCAAGAGAGTCGCTGTGGAGCAGCGGCTAGACGCTCGCGTGCGGATCGGGAGGTCGTGGCTT